GAGAGGCTGCCCGCCCAGGGGGACAAAGTGCCCTGCGGGCAGAGCTGGGCCTCTGGTCACAGCGATTCCCCGGCATTCGTTTCTAAACAGCGAGGCTGTCATTCCCACAGGCCTGGCACCAGGACAGGGGCCGGCACCGGGAAGGGGCCGCCCATCTGCCCCGGGGGTCTTGGTGCCTCAGAGCCCGGCCCCAGCCTCAACCCCAAGGCAGCTCACACCAGGCAGGAGGGGGTCCAGGCAGCAGGAGCAGCGGAGCTCGTCAACGTTTATTACAAGAAAACAGCAGCAGCGCCGGGGCAGGGGCGCCCGCCCTCACTTGCCCCTGAGGTAGATCTTGGGGGTCTGCCAGCCGGGAGGGGCTTCCTTCAGGCCCGCCTTCAGCCAGATGCGCTTCAGGTCCTTCTCGAACCTCACCTGCGAGGGCAGAGCAAGGGACCGCCGGCCGGTGGGTGGCACGGCCACGCACTCTCGGCCACCCTGCCCCGATCCAGGCCCCGGGACCCACACGTACCTGCTTCCGTTTCAGGCGTCCTTCCCGGACCCTCCGCCGCAGAAACCGGGTCCTCTTGACCAGCTTGCGGTACTTATGATGGTTCATCTTCCGCCGGCGGATCTTCAGCACGTTTTTGCACTGAATCTGGGGTGCATCCTGCACCTCCTCACGCCCCTGCTCGGCTCCTCCCCCCACCTGGCCAGGCGGACACTCATAGGCCTGGGCCGGCGACACAGTCCCTGGGACCCCAGCATCCAGTCTGGGCAGGAGGTAGTGGGCGGTCAGCCAGCTCTCCAGGGGACTGATGGACATCTTCCTGGGGACCAGCATCTCCTCGAGCTCCAGCTGGACCCCCTTCCCCGGGAGGACGGCAACCCTACTCGGGCCTGCTGGTTGCGTGCTGTAGCGGGACCTGCAGGCATGGCTGCCCGGCACCCCTGAGACGGGCCAGAGACCACGGAGGCCTGCAGGAAACACGATGCCAGTCACCACCCATCGGTCTGCACTAGCCTGCGCTCGGCCGGCCGGCCGGACCTGCCAGGACTTGGGAGCAGAAGCGCCATCAGAGCCTGGGATGGCCTTAGTCCTGGTCTGAACCCCTGCTGATGCTCTGGGGGAGAGGGGGGCGGGGGGCGAGGGCGGGGGTGGGGCAGACTTCCCCTTTGTGATGCTGGGATGTCTGCAGGGCAGTTGGCGTGGCCAGGCCCTGGCCTCCGGATGGTGAGGCACATACTCCTAACCCGGCTGCGTGTCCTGCCCGTCTGCCCCTCGGAGCGCTTACCTGCCCGGGGCGCGACCCGAAGCAGCTGAGACGTCAGACGCGCAGGAACATGTCTGCGGGTGGGGCCCAGGTGCTCAGCGGAGCTGAACACAGGTGCGCGCTGAGTCAAGGGGCCCGCGGCGGCCAACCCGGGGTTGCGGACTGGGGCTGATTCTGTCCGCCCGGCACCCGGCACTCTGGCCAAACCCGGAGAC